CCCGCGGGGGGGCCTGAGGCCGCCCTGCCCAGGGCTTCCCTCCTCTGTGCTTCGATTCCCGGCGGAATAGACCCCACTCTTTGGAAAAGCCCTTCGCCGGCGCCAACGCGTCAATCCCTGGGGAAAAGGAGGCTGTTTGTGCGCACTTTTTTCGTCTAAAAGGGGTTTATTTGCGTCCGGAGGAGGTGGTCATAGATTTACTCGGCGCGGAAGCTGGGGGTGGGGTGGGGGCCTGCCAACGCCCGTGGGGCATCTCCCCAAGGAGCCCCCAGGCCTCATTCCCAAAGGCCGCCCTCCCGCTCCGGCCTCTCTGCCACCGGAAAAGCCCTGGCGCAGCTGGGGGCAGGGAGACACTCCGTAGTGTGGGCGCCGGGAAATGGGGTGCAGGCTGGGCTGCGCGGGCCTCTGACTCTCCTAAACCTGGAGGTCCGGCCTCCATTATGAAAAGGACCTCCTACTCCAGGAGCAAAATAGGTTTGGTGAGGCCCATCAGTGTGATCCCCAAGGCCTCTGACCTGGGAGCCAAGCTCCCTCCACAGCATCCGAGCCCTGCATGGGGGCAGAGATGGCTCAAAGCTGGTGGCTTCAGTCAGGGGCCTAAATAGGAGGGGAAGGGATGGAGTGGGGTGGCTGGCCTGACCCTCCACCCTCAGTACCATCCCGGCTTTTCCCTTGGGAAGATGTGGAAGCAAGAAGAGGAGGAGACAGCGAGTGGGCCCTGCTGGGGTGGAGGGGAGGGGGAGAGAAAAGGAGCTCCATGCTGTATGTACAGGGAGCAAGAGAACACCAGCCCCACTCACTGTGGTCCTTAGGCCAATGCCTTGCCCCTGCTGGGCCTCAATTTCCCCATCTGAGAAAGTAGGTGGTTGTCATGGCCAACACCCCAGAACCCATCTAGAGGAGGCTCTCTACCCTGACACGGGTGGAGGGGTCCCACTGGGCTGCCCAGGCTCCAGGAGACACTGGCTTTTCTGGTGCCTGGAGGCCTCTGGGCCAACCAAGGCGGCAGGGCCCTGCCCACTGTCTCTCCACCTCTCACTAGGAGGGAGGCCTGTCCAGTGTGGGATACCATCGCCCATCCCCTTCTGAAGAGCCCTGTGATTCACAGAACCACCCAAGGGTGGAGCACCTGGAGGCCACCTTCCTGTCCTGATGATGGCTGGGGGGTGGGGGGTCAGAAAGGGGCGGCCCCAGCGGAAGCCACTTAACAATTTGGGGGAGAGGCAGCTGGGCTCGTGGGGTCCTAGTCTTACCAGAGCCTCTGGTAAGACATTTTCTTTGTCCCTGTGGACGAGGAACCCTGGCCATTTCCTAATCTACACAAAGACTGGGGCTGATGCCAGGGCCTGGGGCTAGCCTCACGGCTCAGGGCCAGCAGCTGGAGCTACAGAAACGGCATCACCTTGGGCGGCAGGGCCCTGGGTATGGTAGGCTCTATTTCCTGCAGTGACCCTGAGGCCCCAGGCCAAGGGCACATGGGAAAGAGAAGTGGTCCAGGACCCCAGGCGGGGGACTCCTGAAGGGTGGCAGCACCCTCCCTCCGCCTCCAGGGACATCCATCCCCACCCACCTTCACCTGACCTTCTCCTCCTTGCCCTGGTGAGTGGACTATGTACTTCTCTCCAGCAGACCCTGTGGGGCCAGCGGTGCAGGACCCCCACGCAGTCCTCACAGCCCGACTAGAGCCAAGTGTCACATCTTCTTGGGACAGGTCAGGACACTGAGGTCCCAGGATGGGGCAATGGCCAGACCTGGAGTGGCAGGGGCAGAGAGAGAAGTTCCGAGGAGAGGTTTGGTAATGTGCCCCCTCCCCCATGGCTAGAGCTTATATTCCTGCAATGGTGAGGAGGAGCGAGGGACGGCTAGGGCCTTCCTCAATCTCGTTGGGGACGTTAAGGCTCACGGAGGAGACACCTCACTCCAGAATCTGTCCCCAAGCTCCCATAGCGTACTGTAGTCTTTCAGCCAGCTCCGCCCAGTAACGGTTTTCTGAGTCTCCGAAGCTGGCGAAAGGAAGAGTGCAGCCTTTCCCTCTCCTCTCCTCCATCCCGTCCTCTGTCTGTGGGTGTGATACAACCACCCCCGTGCGCTGGGGTTGCCAAGGAGGACGTGTCCACGTATCACTGAGCAATATAAGCAGATTGCAGAAGGAGAAAGCTTTCCTCTCAGGGCAGTGGGGAGGGGGGTGGGGAGGATGAGGCCGAGCCTGGTAAACTGAGTCGGGGTGCACAGGTACAGCCTCCGCTCTAGGAGGTGCCCGCCTGCCTACGCGGCACCCCTGCCAGGCGGACGTCTGGTGCCCTGGCCGCGAGGTTGCGCACCGACACCCCTTTCCCAGCCGAGCCGCGTGGCCTTTGCCTCTCCCCCTCCCGACCTTCCCGGCTGCTTAATCCTTGCCCAGGCCGTTCCCCTTCCTATCTGTCCCCTGTCTTTCTTGACTGCCCCCTCCTTCTGCCCTGCCTGCCTCTGTGCCCGCCCGCACGTCACTGCCCCGTTGGCTCCCGCGCCCCTGTCGGTCTCGTTTGCGCACGGGCTGACGGCCCTGGCACCCTCACATCTGTCTCGCATCCAGGGTGGCCCTTGCTGTCTCGCTGTGGCCCCTCTCTCACCTCTCTGGATCCCTCTGCTCCCTTCTCTGGGGTCTCCTCTCCCGCTCTCTCCTGCTCTCTCCTTCCTGAGCGTGCGCTCCGCTGGGTCTCCCTCGGTCTGGGTCCGCCGACCCTTCTCGAGGCCCCCCTCTCTCCCGCCTTCCTCCCTTCTCCGGCCCTCCCTCGGGCTCAGCCCGGGGTGGGGT